CATTAAGACAATGCAAGTTTTTTATTGCCTCATCTTTACAGAATGATACAACCCCAAACCGCAATTCAAATCTGGAATTTTTAGTCTGAATGTTAATGAGCAGCTTTTTCTTTTTTAAAAAATATGAAAACAAATCGTTTAGGACAGATTAATTTTTTGTAGATTCCAGCTCAGTCTTTCTTATGCCCACAAGCATTTCTGTTTTACAGATATGTTGTCAGTTATTTAACTGTACACCCTTGGCACTGATTTTTTGGGTAATTCTGCTATGTTGGTAACAGGATTGAAATTCTTGTCAAATGTGTTGCATTAAGCCATCCTGGCTTTGTGCTAAGTTAACTTCCATGCCACGAGTGGGTAGAAGCCAGGAGCGTACATCAGGAATGAAAATTGCTCCTTACATTTTTTCTTAGACATCTCCAACTGGATATTGCCAAAGGCAGGGTGCTGGTGTACATAGATGCAGTGTCTATATTCTTAATGGTTGGTTTAAGAAGAGATATGTCTGACTACTAGTGCAGGTAATAAAATGCATGGTGAATGGGAGTGGAAAGGAAAAAACATTTGCATCTTTCAGTCTTGTTGGCATCTGGCCACAGCAGGACAGAATAAAAGTCCTTATGTTCACATGTCCTGCCAATATTAAGTGGGAGAAAACTGGACCTGTTCATCATGCTGCAGGTGGAGAAATGGTCTTTTTTCCCCTTTTTCTTTCATTGTCAGTTCTTAGAATACAGGCAAGGTTGTTTTCCTTGCAATGCATTAATATTTCACCTCTGTTCATTCTGTGCTAGGGATTGACACAACATGTGGCCTCTTCACATCTGCCTCATGGCGCTTCCCCCTCGAGAAGCTACGTGTGACCTTTGCAGACATTGTTCTGCACTGTGAAACTTTATTATTTTATTCTTTTCAGTGGAATATATGTGCAGGTTATACTGCAGGCAACTGCTTAAAACAAAATTTAAAAGAAAAAGTATCCATGGCTATTTCAGGTGCATATGACATACAAAAATGAGAAACCATACCATAATGTCTCTGTTGGTAGTTGTGTCTGCTTCTCCTTGGAGTGAGGGGGGAATCAGTGAGTGAGAGTCAGTGTGTCACCAAGCCTTCAGAGCTCCTGTTTTTAAGAAGAGCTTCACTGCAGATGGGTTTTGGTCCTTGGACCCAGGCTCTGCTACATGTGTTCCCTTAAAGCTCTGCACTGGTATACACTGGTATTAGTGTTCCCTCCTGCGCTGGCTTTGTGCCCTTGTGTTACACTTTTCCTTCTCCTAGTTTGTGTTTCCTAGCAGAATCAAACATGTAGGCTTCTTATTAATTGGCAGCCACTAAGCATTAAAAGTTAATTTAAAACCCCACTGGATTGCAGTGTGAAGAGTGCTCCTTTCATTACATTGTTCATTATTTTAAATGTATAATTTACATATATTATTGCTTAATTTCACTTAATTTTTTGTAATGAGGTACTGAATGGAAGATTTACAGGATTTATGAGAGTACAATGGAAGGTTTATTAGATGGACATTTTTAAAGTTAAGCTTACAAATGGGTTTGTTTATTTTGTTTTTTTCTTTAGATAATGGATTCTGGCCTTTTCTGTACTTCTTTCTGCATTGGATCTTTGGGATTTTAGGTTTTTGTTTCTTTATTCTTTTGGTGTTTTGGGGTTTTATCCCCCCCAAAACTCTGTGTTCTAAGAATGTAGCAGATACTGTGGAAATCCTGGAGTAATATTGTCTTCACCATAGTAAACCTCTCTTTTGAGCCTGTACCACCATTATTATGGCCATGGCTCACATTTTCTTTGTTTAAGCTGATATGCTTTTAGTTGACCATGGCCTATCCTTTGTTTTATCTCTCTCCATTCTAATGAAATTTTTCTTTTACCTGACTCTGATTTTACTCCTTCTTTACAACTCACTTTCCTTTCCTCCTCTTCTGTCAAGCAAGTGTAGTTGCTTCCATGGAGGTCATTGTGCACTTCCTTTGTCTATTCCCTTTGATATGTTCCCTTTTCTCTGAACTTCCTATTGTATGGAGGATTTGGTAATTCTAATATTTTTGTCTCAATGGACAGGAGAAAAAAAAAACCCAACCAAATATGGCTGATTTTTCAAAAGGCTTAAGAAATTGAGGGCCAGGTACTCAGAGAAGGTGCCCTGCCCTCCTGCAAAAATTACATCTCTAATTCCTTTAATTTGGATCATCTCATAATTTTTACTATTTATGTTGCTTTTGCCTCAGACAGTTCATAGATAAATAGAATAAGTCAATTTGGAAAAGACATCCAGAGATCAACTAGTCCAGTCTCCTGCTTCAAGTAGGGTTAAAACAGACCAGTTTTGCAATCTCCACAAGAGCTAATAGAGAGAGCTAGTATATTTATCCAGTGTATAAGTTGTTCCACCAGTATCCAAGTATGAAAATGGGTATAATAATTCATGCTCAACAGATTCCTGTCATGCTGTCCATCCTAGTGATGACAGAGGAGAGCATAGTGACAAGCCCAGTTGCCTTGTTTATCATAGCTGAGGGTACATGAAGTTAATTCCATATTTTTCCACAGTGAACTTTGAAGTAATAAAAAGGGGAAAAAATTGTGAATAAGAGGAAAACCTGATGTAATTGTTGAAAACAGACAAAAGCATGTCCTTCTAGGGTCTCAATTTTGATCCTTCATTCCCGATTCTTTAAAATAATTGGTCAGGTCAATCTGTATCTGTCAGAGACCATCCTGTTTGTTTTCCAGTTTTGCCAGCTCAGATCTGTTCTGACAGTTTAGAAACCTAGTCAGGTCTATGCTGGTGGCTGACTGGAGATACTGCTACAGATAGGCTAATGTATCTGATGATTTTGGTTCCCCTTCTAGAAAAACGAATTGGTAGTTACGGCAGCCCCCTGTTTTTGTGGCTTTCTCATGTCCCTTGTTCACTTGCTACTCTCAGTTATTTCTTCTTTTCTTAAATCTATGTGCTAAAATCAAGAGTATTTCTTCCTATTTAGCTTTGTCTAAATAAATCAAGATCTGGTTTGAGTAGAGCAATGGCAATGAAAGCAAATAATTCATTTAGGTCTTCCTTCTGAGTAAAATCCTCTTGGTGGTAGATATTCTAATAAAGTGAATTAGTCAGGAGTTTCTAAGAGTGTCTGCCGTTGCATAGGTGACAATGTGCTGTGGAGGTACTTGAGCTAGATCTCAATTTGTTAACAATTTGGATATAGGATGCAAAGCAGAACTGGTTTAGCCTTCAGTATCCACCTGAGAAGCTGGTTGAATACTTCAACAGTGACATCACATTGAGAACGTAATTTATTTTCTTGTCCTCATCCTTTCCAACAAATATCAGAAAGCAATTAGCTGTGTTTAATAATTTCTATTCCTGTGTTCAGCCTCCTAAACTTTCCAAATGAGGAAGTCACATAGGGGACAAATTTGACTTCTCCAAAGGCAAAGAGGGTCCCGCAGCACTTTAATTTCAAGGGAGCAAGGTCAGGATGTAATTGTTACTCCCACTAGCTGCTGTTTTCTAACTGCTGATATTTTCTGTTTGCATTTCAAGAAAGAGTGAAAATTTCAGCTGAACTACATGTGAAAACTTTCAATTAAAAATATATTGTTTTTAGTAGATTTATTACAGAGATAATTTTATGCCGTAAAGTTAAAAAAATCTGTTTCATGATTGAGACAGTGTTGCTGGATTCAGCCTTAAATATTAAACTAGCTTTCACCTTTACTTTAAGGTGAAATAAACATAAGATCACTTTTTCGGTAAAGATACAGTTTTGGAAAAGCAGTCTTTGGTCTTAGTTCCAGGACAGCCAATGTACCAAGAATACAAAAAACTGATCCTAAAAATTTTTTCACGTCCTTATAAATTTGTGTTCATTGATTATTATACTCTATTTAGTTAAATGGAGCTGTCAGTAGGCATTTTGAAATGTATCAAGTTAGTTGGTGGGGTTTTTTGTACTAGAATTCATTATTCTGATAGCTTCTGTTCTATAACTATTCTGTATATTCTGTTCTGTTCGTAACCTTTGTTTCTACTTCATATGAGTCACTTTCCACTAGTTTGCAGTGCATTTGGTTGGTAATAAAAGGTCTTACAGTAAGGGTGTATGATTGTTTAATGCTGCTCTAAAAGAAAAACCCAAATATATTCGTGTTTCTAGACCAGTGCTGCAATTCACCATCAGCTCAGAGTCTGTTAGGATGCTTTTATATTCTGGGTTTATAACATATTTGCGTGTTTAACCTTCTCAAAGCATAGGCTTCACTTGTGGGGTTTTATGTACAATCAGCCTAGTTGGGAGGAAGATGTATACAGAGAAGCCTTTAATGGTAGCTAACTGCTTCTGTGGGCCCAATTAAGACTATCCAACTGTGAAACAGAGTCCCTGGAGTAACGGTGCGGTCTGCTTGCCCGGGTTTTCTGAGGTGGGGGGAAGGAGTCCTGGAATAGGAGAATATTCAATGCAGCATTGGAGAAAAAAATTTTAAGAGTTTTCCTAGGGGGGAAAAAAAACCAAACCAAAATCCCCAACAAACTCAACACAAAACAAAACTGAAAGAAGAGCAGCCCTCAAACTTTTGGTATGCAGTATTAATAAAGGTTGAGGTCAGCTTTATGTATGCACTGCATTCTAGACTTGACACTGTAGTAGCTGTGCCTGAGATCTGGATGCGTTGTTGATCCAAAATCAATCTTGTTGCTCCTCAGAAGGCAATGAGAGATAATAAGTACTATTCACCTGATTGCCTTCCTGTTCTGAGACAGCTGGTGACGCTTGTCTTCCTGATAACCAGGAGTTTCAGATCTAAGGCAGGGATAAAGAAAAGCTGGGAGCTTGCTGAATCTAAATTTGACAGTCGATGACTGTGTAGAGGGTCAGGAGGGATAGAATCTGTGACACGTATAAGAAAGGAACAAAATTTATCTGCTCTGGTTGCAATGATTAGATGTCTCTTTGTCTGGCTTTCTTACAGTGGGTGATTGATTGTACCCGCCAGCTGGCTAATATCATAATTAACAAAGTTGCTACCATGTCTGAGAAGTTTAATCGAAAAAATTGCCGGCAGTATGATGCCATTGTCACAGAGATCACAAGCGCAGCAGTGTTGACTTTTGTACTGGTGGAGCCGCAGGACTATGTAGATGTGCTGAAAAGTCGTTCGCTGGGATAACTGAAGGTATGTTTCTTTCCCTACACATTTTTCCACTGTTCCTTCTTTTGAAAAATAAAGTACATGGTCCTTTGATGATACCTTTCATTTCAGGGTGGCATGTGAAGCTATTCTGTCGTATTTTAAAGCAGTTGCAATAGCAATCTAGAATATGTTTTATCAATGCGTCGAGAGGTGAATAATCAAAACTGTAGTTCAGTGACACTCACCCTTTATAAGTGGTCTTCGGTGTCTTGCCGCATGCTTTTTGCAAAAAAATGTGGATGCAGTTGTTTCATAGCTAATTTTCTCAGCTGGAAGCTGAGAAATGCTGTTGACAGTCTCTGTTTTAGGAACTCGTAGTCCAGCTTGGGTTTATCTTTTGCAGTATTTATTTTCATACATTACTTCAAGTTGGACTGTAACTTAAAGGCATAAAAAAATTTTAAAAAACAGGGAAAAACCTGTGTTCTTGCATCTGTAATCCACCATAAGAATGTGTTGCTAGAACGCTTTCTTTTGTATATGTGTATTTGTGTCTGTGTGTTTGAAAAGAGAGGAGCATCGATGATGTTAGCTGGGAATTCACAGCACCTTTGCAAAATACTGCCTGAGAATCTCACTTACTCCTTTTGTATGTTTACCTAGTTTTCCAAGTTAAACATTGTTCTGCTGGGCTCTTTTCCTCTGCAATTGTATTTTAATGTGTGTGTGTGTGTGTGTGTGCACCGTGTGGTGGCTCAGTTATGCTCTGGAGTGTGTTGAAAATGCCAGCCTGACATATTGCTAATGAGTGTGCATATTGACAGTGACGGGGGCGTGTGTCTGTCTGTGTGCCATATATTAAAACAAAAAGAGGAGAGAGACGGAGACAGAGAGAGACAGAGAGACAGAGAAGGAAATATTGGGATGGGAAAGAACAGTTTATTTACATTACGGTATGTCAAAATGTTATTATGGCTAAAAAATCCATTTTAAATAGACACAAGATTTCTTTCTCGCAGGAGCTAATATGGCCATGGTAGGAGGATAAGGGAGACCCATGTATTTGGGTGATATTAGTATTTTTCTGCCCAATAAATTCTGACTTTTTGGTACCAGCTTCTAAAATTTGGGAAATGAATTGTTTGCGTTTTGTTTCGGTTCTGTAACGAGCTCTCCCTGAGTTTTCTGTTGCTTTTCTGTCTGTGTGTCTTTACAGGTAAAATAGTTCTGAGCATTCAGATGGAATTGTTACAGTAGACTTTTGAAGGAATGTATTGTTTAGTAGCTAGCATAGCTGATGTTCATCTGAAACCAACATTTTTGAGGGGATGTGCTCTTTTATATTTAACAATTATCTGTTTCGAGTTGAATAATTTTCTCATTTTGAGCTGATATTATTGCAGTGCCAGTTTAAAACTACTGCTGATGTGAATTTTTCTGAGAGACTTTGCAGTTCTCAGTCAATTTAATAGCAGATAAATTGTTCTTAATTGAAAGAACAAGCTACTCTTTTTTATTATTTCTTTATTTTCTTAATGGGCTACACCCCAAAAGAGACTTCTGTTTTGTGAGGAAATACTTCTCTGCAGGCCAGAAACATATTCCTATCATCATTATTATTCCTATCCTCTGTAATGGATTTTAGGTTTTAACTTATCCTTGTAAATCTATTGCTTTTCAAGAGCTGCTAAGCAAAATTAAAAATCTATATTTTGTTTTGAATAGAAAATGCTGTGAGCAGTGACAAAATAGATTAGTATTGTGATTGCAGACAATAGGGAAGATTAAGTTACTAAAACAGTATATTGTTGTTCTAAACTAAAGCCTGTAATATTTTCTGTAATTGAGACTTCGTGCATTGTTAGAACTCGGCTGGAGTATCAAATGGTTGTGAGGATTAGAGCAGACAACTAAAGCAATGTCACAGTAGATGTGGCTGGTTTTTAACAGGATTATCTTCTGAGATGTGTAGAAATGAGCTCTTGTAATAGTTTTGGAGGAATTAATAATTTTAGTAAAATGTTAATGGCAAATGTGCTAATGTAAAGAATTAGAAGATTAGCGATGCATCCTCTTGCATGGAAATAAGAATATAATAAATGTCCTGCAGGTGACTGAAGCTACCGCAATTTTATTGGAGATTAAAGTTTGACTGACCTTTGCTGAGGTGATTAACCCTTCTGAAATTAAAACCCAGTAGTAAATTATTCTGTCCAATTTAAATGCAAACACGAATGATACAGCATACTGTTCTAAGTGTAAGGGGAAAAAAAAACGTTTCAATTTTCGTTTTGCACTCAGTGAGATGTGATTGCAGACAGCGCGCGGCTGGGCTGTGGTGGAACCGGCCAGTGGCGACCTGCCCTTGCTCTGCTGGCTCCCAGCGGAGCAGCCGTGCCACGGGATGCAGAAGTTGGGAGCAGCTGCCTGCCATGAACCTCCACGTGCAGGAATGCCGGCAGGAGAGCGTGGAAGCGTCAGCGAGGTAAGCACTGCAAATCACTGCGGTTATGCTTTATCTGCTAGCGGGGACCTCGAGCCAGCTGATGCGTGCAGGGCCAGCGTGACACAGGTGAGGGTCCCTGGCCATCCTCACAGGGCAGCTCCTCAGAGATGGGCTGCTCACCTGTGCAGGCCAGCGCAGAATTAGGAATTAAGTTGCATCTGTGTTGTCCTCTGAGCTGCTTTTTCCTTCTCCCCAATCCTGAAAAGTCAGGTGTACGAGCTTGCGGAACTGTACTTTTTGAGTGACAGAGCGCTTCCTCCAGCGCAGGCTGAGTGCAGGTGTGTGAATTGCTGCGCTGCTTCAGGGTTGTGATTCCCATCCTTCCGACAAGGGTGAACAAGCGGCTTCTTAGGCTGTAGCCAGCACGTCATGCTGGATGGGTAGGATCAGGACATGATCTTAGTAGCTGTCTAAAGCCTGTGGGATTACTTGCATGTGTAAAGTCTCGCAGGTGGTTGTCGGAGTTGCTGTGGCTATGCTACTGGACAGTATTTAAAAAATCTAGAAAGTTGATTTCCAATAGCTCTTATAACTCTGCTTCACATTATGGTGTGTGTCTGTGTGTGCAAACTTTATTACTTAATATTAAATTGGAAAGACCTCAATAATATGCTTGCTGCATTTTTTATAAATCTTTCATTAAAAGTTGAACACTTAGGAATTCTTTCTACAGTATCTGCCTGACTCTATTTTTATTTAGCAGACAAATGAATGTCAAGGCAGTGATTTGTTTTCTTATGAATTACACTTAACTTTCGCAGAGTAAGAAATCAGGGTGTTGTTATGAAGAAGAATACTGTCTGAAAGTCATTCTGGAGGACTGTAATGACTCTCTGAGAGATTAAATTTACACTGATTAGAGCTGTTATAAATGGATCCAGTTCACATATTTTTGTTGATTTTGTTAGAAAATTATGTTTTTGTTAAAAGCACCAAAATAATGGTAAATTAGAAGTTTTGTTATTTGAGGTTGGCTTAACATGAAAGGATTCTGTTAATCTTCAAGGATTACTGTTTCCTTCCTTCACCTGCCAGTCCAGAAGAGGGAGGCAAGAGAGTCAGGTCTGCACCCAGGACTCTTGGTCTTCGGCATACACAGTACTGGATCAGACTGAGATGGATTTTTTCTTTTCTTTTTTTTTTTTTTTTTTTTTTGCTTTCTTTTTATTTCCTCTCCTTGAATCCACCTCTCCCTGACCACCTGAGAAGAGATAAAATAGCTCTTTGAAGGCTTTTGCTTGCATGCCAACAGCAGTAGTGCTGGGAATTGGGCTGAAGGGCAGAAGGGCTGCTGCAACTGTTTGGTCTTGAGTGGACTTTATGCCTAGTAAAATTTCCTATTTTTTCATGCAGCTGTAAGGCATTAAAATTATAATGAATGTGCCATCTGCATTCCATATTCAGTTTATCTCCTCACTTTTCATCAAGGAAGATTTCATATTGCATCTGTCAAGGTAGGGAAGTCCAAGGAATTGCAGTTCAGAAATTAAGGACCCTGAGGTAGCAGCTCACTTCTGTCTCGTCTTTTCATTTACACTTTAAACAGCCTTCAGAGAGATGGGTTGCTACTTCTGGGACCCAGCGAAGAAAGTGAGGAATAGATAAAAGCTAAACTTGTGGTGGAGTGACCTAAATGGAACAGCTGGCAAAAGTATAGAGGGGATCCTCCAGGGTACTGAATTATACCTTCAGGCTTGGATTAGTGGGATGTTTAACAAAGAGATCCATTTGCCAAAAGGATCTCTGCCTGATTTTTAATTATGGAACTACCGCTTCCTTCAACATTAGCAAATTATTGAGCTTTTTTTCCTCATGTAAAGTGTAGAGTACTAATTGTTGGTTTTTGGCTCTTGCTTTTGCTTTTCTCAAACTAAAAATTTTTGCATGTTCTTGAATTAACCATATGAATACCTGGAACATGAAGTGTTTCAATGGTTTTTATATTATGAATACTGAGTTTCATGCTCTGTAGAGAAAATATATAACTTCAAATATTTATTGTTTTGCTTATAATTCTGGAATGCTCTTGAGTGCTTGTAATAGGATGAAACTTTTCTTTAAATTGAGGAAAACAGTATTTATAGATTCTTTGTAGTCATACATATCTATCATATTTTAATTACCAGTAACTGGAATGTAAAATCCAATGTTTAAATTTTTTTTTAGTAGAGAGGTCCCTCAATTATTTACCATATTTTACAGTATAGCAATACAGGGGAGAAAAAAAATGGAGCTACATGTGCCAGAAATACCTTTACCAGCCAACTTTCATATATAGCATTTTCTCTTTTGAGATAGGCATTATTTCCTTGTCTGTTATCAGCTAATACTACGATGCATTTATTAAACCTCTGCAGAAAAAAACCCCTCCAAATCACATGAAATAATGATACTCTAGCATGATATAAAATTTTCAGATGGGTGGTGCATCAGGAAAACTCATGATGAAGTAATAATACAGGCTAAATATGTATTTATTCAGTGTAGAGATTCTCCTAACTGTGCTTACTTAATATTCACTGAGGCACTCAGGCTGAAGAGACAGGGCAGTGCAGTAAAGCATTTCTGGGAAGTTTGTTGGAATACTATATCTGACTCCTTTAGGCAAAAAAAGTGCTAAGAATGTGGCTGGTGGAGGAGGGAGGAGGCAAGGATGTTGTCACTGTCCTCACTTCCTACAGACTGTAATATCTAAAATGAACACTGTTTGTCATTGCGCCTTTTGCTTTGCTCTTTTGAAAAAGCATTTAGCAAGCAGGTTCCCTCAGAGGCAGGTCACATAAGGTTGTTTTGATGATCTTCTCTGTATGTCCATGTTACCAAGTCACGTGAGGGATCGGTGAGGTGCTTAGCGTGTGATATGTCATATAGGTGACTGTTGCCCTCTTAAAAAGAAACCCAGAAAAAAAAGGTGCAGTTAAAATTTCTTGTTTGCTCCCACTATTGCTCCCAGTGAAAATGGCATAGGGAACTGCATATACTTTTATGTTGGTCTGATATTTGTTTAGAAATTATCTTATTCAGCATTAATAACATTAGCAGTAGTCCTCATGATTATTTGTAAAGAAAATACCTCAAAATTTTACTCCTGCCAAAAGCTTTCTTTTTATTCTTCCCCTCTCATTTCAATATTCTTTCAATATGTTACTCAGACAATAGCTAAATGAAAATTTAAGGCCATTTTATCTACAGCATTTAAAAGATATTTTTACGATAGGATAAACTGCAATTTTCCATGTAGAGAAAAGTTTCTGAATAGTGAGAAATGCACTGCATTACATATGATTGGAAAACACTGCAATTTCAATAGCTACATTGGCTTAGACCTTCAAGTTGTAACAAATTCTTTTCCTTCACAATGATGTTTTTAGCAGCTATATATTCCACATTGCAAATCATCACAAAATGTATTGCATATTTTCCCCCAGAGCTAGCCTTAAATCAGAGAGAAGATACAAAAATTGTAGATTAATTTTAGGCTTCTGTTAAAAATCAGCAATTGCCGAGGTATTTCTTTTCATCATGGAAAATTAGCTGCAAGTTGATAATTGCATTCCTTGTTCATCAGACCTGTGTAGCTTTCTGAAAGTGTGCATAACAGAGAATTGAATTTGAATAACTTGAATAGCTGCATATGAAAACTCTTGGAGGATAATGTTTCAATGAACATTTCTTCATTCCATTTGAATAGAAATTAAAATTATCTTATAAATATGCAGTTTCTTACATTGCTTAAATGTTTGGGTTTGGGGTGGTTTTTTGTAGTTTTTTGAGGGTTTAAAATTTTGGATTAAGTGAGAGAAAGGGAAGAAAAGGATGTGAAACTTTGTAGGTCAAGGCAGGATATTTCTGAGTTATTTACTACTTTACACTCTTGAAATGGATGGTGGTAGAAATTTCTAGCTTTTTTAAAAGTAAACCAAAATGTGCCCTCTTTGAAGAAATTAAACTTAATTTAGTTGGGGGCTTTTTCATTAAAATTTTCCTGTCTGAAAATGAGAACAAGTTGGACCATCATGTTCAACAGTTCAAAAACTGCTTGAGGAAACACGAACTTTTAAAATCGCTAAAACTTCTGTCTAAAACTAATCCACTCTTTCATGTAGAAACACCGAAGAAAACATTTCTATGAAAAAAATACTGACAAATTTCTGAAAATACAGACCAATTAGTGAGATTTAATTTAGATATCTGTGACTGACTATGTATCATGTATATGTTAGAGCTGATTTACCATTATATTCTTGCCTTATTTGCAAAAAGAGACTCCTACTTATTGAAATATTACTGAAGAATCTAGCTTTCCCCACAAATTACACATTTTTTGCATAAATGTGCCTAATTACCTGAATTCAGTTTTGATTAGCAGTGTTAATTGATGCAGCTGTGGATGGGCTCTGTTTACCTAAATTACCATGTGCAAACAGCAATACGTTTGAAAGTGAATATGCTAAACTGAAAATACTAATTAGCTAAGACAGATTATTATTCAAGTCACATCTCAGAGCTTTTTAATGAAAGCCTGAATGTGTCAGGGCTTTATGATATTCAGACAGAAATGTCTATATTACATATGAATTCTAAATTTAATTCAAGGGAACAGATGGGATGTCGACTGGGGTTCTTCTCCATCGCTTCCAGTATTAATGTGAATATTTTACTCTACTGGATACATTTTTGAGTGTGTGTATGTGAAAGGAGCGTGTGTGAGAGAGAGAGGAGGGAGCCTCCCTCATTGTGTGCCTTGACAATGTGCCAGCCAGGAATGGTCTATTTTTGACTGACATATTTGCAAATTATAGGCACCTTCTTTCCCGGAATGAAGATAGATAAACAAGCTATTTTGCAAATTTAATAAGGCTAGATAGTAAATGGAATAAAACCAAATCACAGAAAGATTAAGCAGATTTCATTAAAAGAACTTTTGCAACAACAGAGGCTTCTCCTTTGGCAAGAACTAAAAACAAAAAAAAAACTAC